CATTAGGCGAATTCCCCATAGCTATGTACTGAAAGTACCGGAAAACGGCGTTTAGCTAGGTTTCGAATTCGTGAATGAAAGTACCTGCTTTAAGATATTTTAGTCTATAATATTCATTTTTACAAATAGTTTATGGTGTGTTTACATTACTTACAAAGGTAATAGCAATTTGTATGAAATTACACAAAGTAATAAAATATGTTTTGTTAATATTTGTTCCTATGCACTGTTTTCATTTGACATCAGCAGACATGTCTGTCAGAAACAAAGCTTTTATGCACACAAGTTCAGCACATCAAAGTTACTTCTAGTAAAAAAATAACAGCACATGTATGAAAGGTTTGAGAATAGGTTGGGTGTGAGATTAGATACTTATACGATATGTGTAAAATATGTTCATGTATCTGGTTTATAGTGGAACCCCATTGTTTCGTGCTATTTATTGTATCGATCTATTTACAAATCTTTAGATTTTTTGCAAAATACGTCACCTACTGATTGTTAACATTTACAACAGTGTCACGAAAATCTTTCATATTCGATTTGGGCAGTAAAATGATCAAAAACATGTTTCCAGTACCGTAAGACGTTGAGTAATAAATAGACTTATAAATAGTGTGTTCTTATTAAAAGTACATTTACTGTCTGTTGAAAGTTCCTAAATTTATGCTGACATTTCAAAACATACATCTATGTTTCTAATTGACTGAAATAGCTAACATAAAGATGGTTAAGGCTTCCCAAACTTTGGCTAACTGAGCGATTCTCACAATGCATCGATATAATGTCGTGACCTAATTCTTCAACCTGTTTGACATGTCTGTAAATATCCGTATATTCCAAAGCTAAAAAGTATATATGAGTGATGTTTGCCATGTAAATATTATAGCAAAAGGATCAAAATAAATGATACAAAATAAATATTTAGGGAGATTTGAATTTTTTAAATGCTGTTGTGATTTATGGGTAAATAGATCGATACAACGGGGTTTCAGGCTACAGACACTTCACCCCCCAGACATTTCACCCTAGGCCCTTTTTTTGCAGACACTTCACCCCTCAGACAGTTCACCCCTCATTTTAAGAAATTTGATTGAGACACTTCACCCCACATTTTTTATTTTGTGTTAAACAACTTTTATGCAGAAAATGTTTGTATGCTTTTCTCTCGTCGATTCGTGACTCTTATTTGGAAAAATTGCACTTACACAACAAATATCAGACATACATACAGTTCAATTAGTGCATTTGTTAAATAAATTCATTATCTAAAAGTTCAAAAACTTTAAATTACTTCTTAAAACAACCCCTCAAAGATTAGAGCATCTGAACATGTCAACCATGACTGTCTTGCTCAGCTGGATGCTTACCCATCGATTCGTGAAATCCGATTCACCCTGTGACGTCATCAAAATATAGGTGCTCACACCACTAAATGTTTGCATGGTTATTTTCAGTCCGATCTGATCAATATATGTTTCAAAGTCTTAAGTTAATTCTTACAGCATAATGAATATTTTTTTTGCTTAATTGTAAGTGTGTTTGATACATTAAAACATCAATATCGAATACCGTATTATAAATTAATTAGATCATCAGTTGATTGTAGGGTAAGCTCATTTACACCTGTTCAAATACGCATTTTGATTGGATAGAATTGTCAAATCGAGTGTCTAATTAAACTTGTGTAGTTTTCGGATGGTGTATGTCCTTGAAGAAGTATTTATATCAGACAATTATTTAGGTCACGAATCAATGAGAAGGCACGAATCGATGAGAATAAGGCATATTCAATAGTGATTGAGTATGTTTATTGTTATGCCCCCGCCATGTAATGGCCGGGGCATATAGTGTTACCCTGTTCCGTCCTTCCGTCCTTCCGTCATTCCGTCCTTCCGTCATTCCGTCCTTCCGTCATTCCGTCCTTCCGTCATTCTGTCATTCCGTCATCATCAGTTTCCGTTCATTATCTTAGTAACCCTTGCACATATTCAACTCAAATTTGACATATGGATATGTCATGAGAAAATACAGGTCAAGTTCGAATTTGGTCATGGTTCGATGATTTTTGGCAGAGTTATGCCCCTTTTACTTTGAAAATAATATGAAATTTTCAGTTTCCGTTCATTATCTCCCCAACCGTACAACACATTCAACTCAAATATGACATATGGATATGTCATGAGAAAATACAGGTCAAGTTCGAATTTGGTCATGATTCGATGATTTTTGGCAGAGTTATGCCCCTTTTACTTTGAAAATAATATGAAATTTTCAGTTTCTGTTCATTATCTCCCCAACGGTACAACACATTCAACTCAAATTTGACATATGGATATGTCATGAGAAAATACAGGTCAAGTTTGAATTTGGTCATGGTTCGATGATTTTGGCAGAGTTATGCTCCTTTTACTTTGAAAATAATATGAAATTTTCAGTTTCTGTTTATTATCTCCCCAACAGTACAACACATTCAACTCAAATTTGACATATGGATATTTTTTTGGAATGCCAAGGTCAAGTTCGAATTTGGTGGTGGTTCAATAATTTTTGGCAGAGTAATGCCCTTTTCACTTTGAAAAAAATATGAAATTTACAGTTTCTGTTCATTATCTACCCAACAGTGTTACATATTCAACTCAAATTTGAAATATGGATATGTCAAATGAATGTGCAGGTCAAGTTGGAATTTGGTCATGGTTCGATGATTTTTTGGCAGAGTTATGTCCCTTTCACTTTGAAAATAATATAGATACATCTTAGGAATAGACAGTTTAAGTTTGAATTTGGTCGTGGTTCAATGATTTTGGATAAACTTAGCTTTCTTGAATATTGGAAAAAATTTTGAACATTCAGATTCAGCACTCATACTTTTGTGGAAATGTATGTAGCCATTATTTTGGCTACAAATATGAAATATGCTATTTTCAAAAGGTTAAGACTGAATAATTTCAGTGCTTTGAACATTGTATGAAAATGGTTTGTGTTAACATTGAAAAGTTTTAAGGGCTTTGAACTTAAAATGAAAACAATAATTTGTGCAAACAAATTTGGAACTAAATATTATAACATCTGAAATTTTGGCTGCATGCGGGGGCATCCGTGGCATGATGACACATTTCTAGTTTTAACATATTTTATTATTTTATCATGTAATTGACCAAAGACAATGGATATATATATTGTTGTTTTTGCCCTAAAAAAGGCTCATATCACAAAGTTATTAGTAAGTAAGTTCTTTATTTTTTATTTTATCTTTATATATTTTATACTAATTTCAATTTAAGTGAAAGTGATATAATAACTAATTGTAGCATAATCCTTCTAATGAAGTGTGTGAACCTTTTCATGAATTTTCCTTTGATATATATTGAACACAAACTGAATACAAACTGAACTGGCAACACATAGCATGTGATACCTGTAAGTTTACTTAATAATTTGTTAGCAACATTTTTTAAGTATATAAGGAAATACAAATTGTTCTTTTTTATTTATTACATTTATTACATTAATGGATAAATAAATAATTCATTCATTTATATTCTTTTATATTCATATTATTTATTTACTTATTTATATTATTTATTTACTTATTTAGTTATTTTCAAACAATATTATTTATTCATTTATTTTTCATACAATATTATTTATTTATTTATTTAGTTTACATACACTATTATTTATTTATTCATTTATTTCATTCTCATACAATTATACCTTTTTAATCCAATTATCTGTTGAATAACCAACCAATCAACAAGTTGAATAAACAAGGTGACATGCAATAAACACTTATAATGGATGTGCTTTGTATAACAGCTAGTGGGCAATACGATGATCATGAATTAAGGTCAAGGACTAAGGAGTTCTTGGAGAAAGTGGGTGAATTTATGGACATTAATAAGAATGGGGTTTTTAGAACCGGTAAAATGTTATGTTTTATTGCATGTTATATGTAAATGATTTAAAGAAATTATATCATGCGTAATAACATGTGTTATTTGTTTCTGAATTATTTACTAAACAAATATTTACTCTTAGAAATGTCTGTAAATTGTCCTTCAATTAAAAAGTTATAAATCATTGGGGGGGGTGAAGTGTCTTGAGGGGTGAAGTGTCTTCAAAATTTGAGGGGTGAAGTGTCTGGAGGGTGAAGTGTCTTGCTACCATGTATCTTATATATTCATTTTATTCTTAAATTGATTCAAAAATAATTATCAGGCAAGTGTTATCGGGCAGTTACCATAGCAGTTGCATGATAAAATAGAATGGTATGTCAATTTGTATATTGTTGTTGACAATAAACAATGCAACTACGCTTTTTCCTGTTTAATAACCTTTTTTCTTCCCTTTTCTACCCAAAGAACAAACATTGGAAGTATAAATCATAATATTTTATGTGAAGAATATCATGGAATTACAAAAGACCTTCAGGATTTTTTAAATTCACGAATTTATGAAAGTTTTAAACTTCAAGTGTTTAAGATTTCAATTTCACGAAATCACGTTTTCATAATTTCGTCTTTATGAATTCACCATTTTAAGTTTGACTTAACAAATTCAAAAGTTCAGATCTATGAATTCTCCTTTATACAATGTAAACTTCATAGATCCATGATGTTTCACTGAATGATTTCTACTTTATTTAATCATGAGATTTATATAATCTAGAAAGTTTTGAAGTAGGACTGGTGAAGTGAATTATTTAATTACTTAATCAACTTTTGTTCACAATATTTACTAATCATTTGTAATCTTGTGTATTCTTCTTTTTTTTCAAACTAAGGCAGTTTTTTCACTTCTGATCACTAAAATGATGTGTGGCTTCATAAGTTTTGACACCTTTCATTATTTGAAATTAATAGCCATTATGTGTAAACATCAAAGACACAAAATGTATTAAAATCGATAACAATATAAATACTTTTAAATAACTATGAATAAAAAATTACATATTTATACTTATTCCAGTGACGTTTATTTAAAATCTCTTACAGAATATCAAAATGAAGAACAGCTATCAACAGATAACGGATTTGTTAACTAGATATAAATGGACACTGTTAATATTCATTTTGAGCACAGGTATTTATGTACTTATTTATTTAATTTATTATGCCCCTGCCATGTAATGGCCGGGGCATATAGTGTTACCCTGTTCCGTCCTTCCGTCCTTCTGTCCTTCCGTCATTCTGTCCTTCTGTCATTCCGTCATTCTGTCATTCCGTCATCATCAGTTTCCGTTCATTATCTTAGTAACCGTTGTACATATTCAACTCAAATTTGACATATGGATATGTCATGAGAAAATACAGGTCAAGTTCGAATTTGGTCATGGTTCGATGATTTTTGGCAGAGTTATGCCTCTTTTACTTTGAAAATAATATGAAATTTTCAGTTTCCGTTCATTATCTCCCCAACGGTACAACACATTCAACTCAAATTTGACATATGGATATGTCATGAGAAAATACAGGTCAAGTTCGAATTTGGTCATGGTTCAACGATTTTTGGCAGAGTTATGCCCCTTTTACTTTGAAAATAATATGAAATTTTCAGTTTCTGTTCATTATCACCCCAACCGTACAACACATTCAACTCAAATTTGACATATGGATATGTCATGAGAAAATACAGGTCAAGTTCGAATTTGGTCATGATTCGATGATTTTTGGCAGAGTTATGCCCCTTTTACTTTGAAAATAATATGAAATTTTCAGTTTCCGTTCATTATCTCCCCAACGGTACAACACATTCAACTCAAATTTGACATATGGATATGTCATGAGAAAATACAGGTCAAGTTTGAATTTGGTCATGGTTCGATGATTTTTGGCAGAGTTATGCTCCTTTTACATTGAAAATAATATGAAATTTTCAGTTTCTGTTTATTATCTCCCCAACAGTACAACACATTCAACTCAAATTTGACATATGGATATTTTTTTGGAATGCCAAGGTCAAGTTCGAATTTGGTGATGGTTCAATAATTTTTGGCAGAGTAATGCCCTTTTCACTTTGAAAAAAATATGAAATTTACAGTTTCTGTTCATTATCTACCCAACAGTGTTACATATTCAACTCAAATTTGAAATATGGATATGTCAAATGAATGGGCAGGTCAAGTTGGAATTTGGTCATGGTTTGATGATTTTTTGGCAGAGTTATGTCCCTTTCACTTTGAAAATAATATAGATACATCTTAGGAATAGGCAGTTTAAGTTTGAATTTGGTCGTGGTTCAATGATTTTGGACAAACTTATCTTTCTTGAATATTGGAAAAAATTTTGAACATTCAGATTCAGCACTCATACTTTTGTGGAAATGTATGTAGCCATTATTTTGGCTACAAATATGAAATATGCTATTTTCAAAAGGTTAAGACTGAATAATTTCAGTGCTTTGAACATTGTATGAAAATGGTTTGTGTTAACATTGAAAAGTTTTAAGGGCTTTGAACTTAAAATGAAAACAATAATTTGTGCAAACAAATTTGGAACTAAATATAATAACATCTGAAATTTTGGCTGCATGCGGGGGCATACGTGGCATGATGACACATTTCTAGTTTATGTCTTATTTATTTATGTATTATTTGTTTGTTTGTTTGTTTGTTTGTTTGCTCGTCCGTTCATAATTTATAGAGCGTACGAGTTATTTGTTATTTCTGTTTAAAAATATCAAACGTAAAATGTTTAGGGTGTCGGTAGTCGTGTGGTGAAGCTACTTACTTCGAATAACGCCACTTGTGGCTGAGTGGTTGCCTTTAAGGTTTGAGACATGAAAATTACAGCCACCACCTATCCCTGAGTGATCACAAGAGGCGACTAGATGGGTTCGAATAACTCGAATCTATGTACCTCTTAGCTCCAGCAGGTGAGGTTGTTTTGACCCCTAGTTTTGCTTTTTAAGTTTTTAACACTCAATGTTAGCCAACATTATCTTACCGGTTTCATCGCCACATGACCTAAATTGTGTTGCTCACGAGAAAATATTAATAATTGATGGCGTAAATCCTGTATATAGACTGAACTATTTGATATATTACTGTGACCTCACTATTTGAGCATTGAAGTGACGAGCTCGATGAAATATTTTCCATTCATGTTGCGATTTATAGCTGCATACCTCCAGATCAGTCAAAATATTTCAAGACACTAAAAGTTGAGTAAAGTGTATTAAGAGTGTTAGAAAAGTTAAAAGACCAAAGATTCAAGAAATGATTTTCATGTTCTGAACGATTATTTACTGCTTTAGCAGTATTCAATTATTCAACTCCATATATCTACTGCATTTCTTAATAGTATGGTCAATCTTTACATATTTAGACCTCTGTTTGGTAATTTACGTGCATTATAAGTGTCTTTTGTAATGGGTAAATTCCTCTCTGTGCCCTGCTCAGAATATTTTACTATTATATACATTTTTAATGAAATTTTGCTTGAATCTGATGCGTGCTGCTTTAAGAATGCTTGGTCGACCATATACTCTTGATGATAAGGCAAGTACTACAAAATGTTTGATATCTGACACACTAGCACAGTACTGCATTATGAGCCACACGACAAAATCTTTATGCTTTAAAGACATTCATTGACATAACTTTTTCTAATTTCAGCTATCATATTCGTACACTTGCAGTACGCACGTGTGTCAAGTAAGTTTGCTTTAATCAAGAGACGTTACTTTTTACTATTATAGATTAGATATGTATCACACAATAACGGCTTTTACAATGATATTATGATTAATAAAAGAAAGAAAAAGCGACATTTGGTTCATTTGTGTGACGTGTCGGTTCAGAATTGATCTATCAGTTTTGCACTGGCTCTGAACTTGCTATTATCTAAATGCTTAATATATATAAAGTTCATATATCAATTTTTCTATTATACATATCTATATAGTAGAGTCTATGCTTTAATATCTCCGGACAAAATCTGCACAGAATTTAAACTTACATTTTCTGAAAGTATGTAGATTTTGAAAAAGATATATGAAGTTCCCTTCTGGGAAACTCCGAAAATCAAAGATGGGGTCCAAAATGGCGTCTAAAATGAAATTTGTATTTTTACATTCTCTATTTGTGGAATGTCTTCAAAAGCGATCCATATATTCATTTAAAGTGTTCAAAAAGAGGTAAACAAATCTTCTTTCTTTTCATTTATTTCTCTGATTTGATGCCTTAAAGGCACGTAAACATTATCGCGAAATACTACTTTATAATTGTATAAACACTTTACTACGACAATGATGACATATTTCATTTGCTTTACCAGATTCAGTTTCTAAAAACAGAATGGAAGACATTGGTCCAAAGGGGCCGGTATTCAAAAGTAAGTTCATTTTTAGCTCACCTGTCACAAAGTGACAGGGTGAGCTTTTGTGATCGCTTTTCGTCCGGCGTCCGTCCATCCGTTGTCCGTCCGTCCGTAAACTTTTACTTTAAATGACATCTCCTCATAAACCACTAAGCCAATTTCATCCAAACTTCACAGGAATGTTCCTTTGGTGGTCACCTTTAAAAATTGTTCAAAGAATTTAATTCCATGCAAAACTCTGGTTGCCATGGCAACCGAAAGAAAAAACTTAAAATATCTTCTTTTAAAAAACCATAAGAGCTAGAGCTTAGATATTTGGCATGAAACATCTTCTAGTGAGTGTCTACCAAGTTTGTTTAAATAAAAGCCCTGGGGTCAAAATTGGCCCCGCCCCGGGGGGTCATTGATTTTCCCTATATGCGTATTGTAAAAACTTAAAAAATCTTCTTTTAAAGAACCCAAAGAGCTAGAGCTAAGATATTTAGCATGAAACATGTTCTAATTGGTGTCTACCAAGTTTGTTCAAATAAAAGCCCTGGGGTCAAAATTGGCCCCACCCCGGGGGTCATTGATTTTCCCAATATGCATATAGTAAAAACTTAAAAAACCTTCTTTTAAAGAACTCAAAGAGCTAGAGCTTAGATATTTAGCATGAAACATCTTCTAGTGAGTGTCTACAAAGTTTGTTCAAATAAAAGCCCTTTGGTCAAAATTGGCCCCGCCCCGGGGGTCATTGATTTTCCCTATATGCATATAGTAAAAACTTAAAAAATCTTCTTTTAAAGAACCCAAAGAGCTAGAGCTAAGATATTTAGCATGAAACATGTTCTAATGGGTGTCTACCAAGTTTGTTCAAATAAAAGCCTTGGGGTGAAAATTGGCCCCGCCCCGGGGGTCATTGATTTTCCCTATATGCATATAGTAAAAACTTAAAAATCTTCTTTTAAAGGACTCAAACAGCTAGAGCTTAGATATTTGGCATGAAACATCTTCTAGTGTGTGTCTACCAAGTTTGTTCAAATAAAAGCCCTGGGGTCAAAATTGGCCCCGCCCCGGGGGGTCATTGATTTTCCCTATATGCATATAGTAAAAACTTGAAAAATCTTCTTTTAAAAAACCCAAAGAGCTAGAGCTAAGATATTTAACATGAAACATCTTCTAATGGGTGTCTACCAAGTTTGTTCAAATAAAAGCCCTGGGTTGAAAATTGGCCCGCCCCGGGGGGGTCATTGATTTTCCCTATATGCATATAGTAAAAACTTAAAAAATCTTCTTTTAAAGAACTCAAAGAGCTATGGCTAAGATATTGAGCATCAAACATGTTCTAATAGGTGTCTACCAAGTTTGTTCAAATACAAGCCCAGGGGTGAAAATTGGCCCCGCCCCGGGGGTCATTGATTTTCTTTATATGTGTTTAGCAAAAACTTTAAATCTTCTTTGAAAAAACCCAAATAGCTAGAGTTTAGATATTAAGCATGAAACATCTTCTAGTAAGTGTGTACAAAGTTTGTTCAAATAAAAGCCCTGGGGTCAAAACTGGCCCGGCCCCAGGGGTGTCCTTGTTTTTAACTATATGTGTATAGTAAAAACTAAAAACAAGATTGCATTTGAGAAAAATGCTATGCCACCGCATTAATACAACACTAAATAGTAGTGTACAAAACAGATTTTTTTTTGTTTCTATACAATTTTGAAGATTGTCATAATGCATAGATCCCTGACCTATCTAATTCTTATTATCAGATTAGTGGTTAAATCTGTTGTTAACTCAATAAAAGATCAGTGTAGGAATATATCAATGCACTTGAGTCTAGTGAATTTGATGGTCATATTTCACACAGCCTAAATTTCATGACTACATCAAAGGACAACACAGTAAGACACTTTGTCAAAATCTAGGTCAGCTGAAATCAAAGTTCACTTAACATCTTAATCTGTACACATGGTTCAAATTTTATAGTTGTACATAAAAGGACAAGAAAGTAGTTCACATCATCAAAATCTAGGTCACCTGATATCAAAGTTCAATTTTACAACTAAAACTGTGCACATGGTCAAAATTTCATTGCTGTACATCGAAGGACAAGAAAGTAGGTCACTGTCCCCTTGGGCAAGGCAAAATTTTGGACCCAAGGGTTTAATTCAAAACAATCTTGATACAGGTCCACCAAACAACATTTCAAGTCAAATATCTAAGCTGTAGCTTTCTCCCATTCAGAAAAGATTTGTTTTATTTTCTGTTTTTACTATGTGAACATAATGAGAATCACTGCCCCTGGGCAGGGCCAATTTTAACACTAGGGGCATAATTAAAACAACTTTAGTAGAGAACCCATAGATGATATTATATAGCAAACATCAAAGCTCTATGCCTTGTACCTTCAGACAATTTTTTTTTTATTTTTTACTATATGTACATAGTGAAAATCAATGACTCCTGGGGGTGGGGTCAATTATGACCCCAGGGCTATAATGTGTACAATCTTGCTAGAGGTTCACTACATAATGTTTCATGCAAAATATCTTAACTCTAGCCTTTGTAAATTTAGAGAAAATGATTTTTTAAGTTTTTACTATATACATATCAGGAAAACCTATGGCCCACGGGGCGGGGCTAATTTTGACACAAGAGGCAAAATTTGAACAACTTTGGTAGAGTACCTATAGATGATATCCTTTAACAAATATTCAAGCTCTAAGCCTTGTACCTTCAGACAATAAGATTTTTGATTTTTTACTATACATGTATGTATATATTGAAAATCAATGACCCCCGGGGCAGGGGCAATTTTGACCCCAGGGCTATAATTTGAACAATCTTGCTAGAAGTTCACTTCACAATGTTTCATGCAAAATATCTAACCTCTAGCATTTGTCAATTGCTAGAAGAAATTTTTTTACTTTAAAGTTTTTACTATATACATATAAGGAAAACCAATGACCCCCGGGGCAGGGCCGATTTTGACCCCAGGGCTATAATTTGAACAATCTGAATAGAGGTCTACCAGACAATGCCTTATACAAAATATCTAAGCTCTAGGCCTTTTGGGTCTTTACAAGAAGGTATTTTAAGTTTTTACTATATGTACATATAGTGAAAATCAATGACCCCCGGGGCGGGGCCGATTTTGACCCCAGGGTTATAATTTGAACAATCTTTGTAATGGTCTATCAGACAATGCCTTATGCAAAATATCTAAGCTTTAGGCCTTTTGGGTCTTTACAAGAAGTTATTTTAAGTTTTTACTATATGTACATATAGTGAAAATCAATGACCCCTGGGGTGGGGCCGATTTTGACCCTAGGGATTTAATTTGAACAATCTTGGTAGAGGTCTACTAGACAATGCCTTATGCAAAATATCTAAGCTCTAGGCCTTTTGGGTCTTTACAAGAAGATTTTTTAAGTTTATTCTTATAATTCCTTTTGGTTGCCATGGCAACCAGATTTCTGCATGGAATGAAATTCTTTGAACAACTTTGGAAGCCCTTCACCCAAGGATCAATCCTGCCAAGTTTGGTTGAAATTGGACAAGTGGTTTTTCACAAGAGGATTTTTTAAGTTCACTATATAATCTATATAACACACACACACACAAACAAACACACACACACACACACACACACAGGTGAATCGCTATATGCCACCGCATCGCAGATGCTGCGGTGGCATAAAAATCTTCTTTTAAAAAGCCCAATGAGCTAGAACTTAAATGTTTAGCATGAAACATCTTCTTATGGGTGTCTACCAAGTTTGTGCAAATAAAAGCCCTTGGGTTAAATTGGCTCTGCAACGTTGGGGGAGTGGGGGTTGGGGGGGGCCTATATACAGGTGAGCGACCTCAGGGCCATCATGGCCCTCTTGTTTTCTTAGTCAACTTTGACTTCCTTGAGACAGACACGTATTTCATCACATCATAAAATCTGTTTTCATAATGATTTCATTTTGTTTATATATTTTGCAAACGGACATAATAAGCAATTTTTAAGGGCCATTATTAAGGAGTCATTATTTTATGTGATTGGCATATTTTATCGTTTTTTTTACCATTTTATGTAGGTTCACATAAATATTCATATCATTCGCTCCCTGCGTTTTTCCAGAATATTTATTTCAATTGTGTACAATGGCCCCAAAATGAAAAACGTTTAACGTTTTAGCTCAAATCAGACAGAAAATAGTACTAAAAATCGATTTAAATTTAAATCGCAGTACATTACTATATTGACGTTTGCAAAGCGTTTCAGGTTATTATTGCCACAGTTACTCTACAGTACGTTTTCAATTTTAAACGTTTTGTTCTCATCCGAGTTCTTTAAATGTTGAAAACTACCTTATTATGACAATTGTTTCTTTTGTTTGGTTTTACGGGTACAAACACAATCAATCTTATGATATAGTAAAAGCACAGTTCTAAGGCACCGAAACAGGAAAGGTGATTTTGGATAACCTTGAGTGTTATAAACTAAAAGCAACACCTAGGGTCAAAACCATTTCACCTGCTGGATAAAAAAGATGCATAGTTTCAAATAATTTTAACCCATTTAGTCGACAATTATCATTACTCAAGGTTAAACGGTGGCTGCAATTCCCATGCCTCAACCAGTAAAACCCCTCAGCAACAAAAAGATTATTATGACAATGTGCAGTTGTTAGACAAAGGGCATAATTCTGAACGCTACATTTTTCAGAGCTAAGGCCCTTTTTTATCACAATTAGAAATTTCGTTACAGTAGGGTGAACGTGTCAGTTTACACGCAAAATGTACGTTCTGGAAAAAACGCACGCACGTTACACGCTATATAAACGCACGTTATACGCACGCAAAACGAAACGAAATACGCAGAAGCACCCAAAACGATATACGGTAAACGAAACACGCTAAACGATATACGCACGCTAAAACGCACGCAAAATGAAAACGTTTCTAAACCTTTATTAAAATATCGTTATCATATTAAGTTTTTAACAACTTCAGCTACTTGTAGATCGTTTAGCGATAAATTTTGATTATATATATATATATAGTAGCTAGATCAACAAATGATTTTTAGAAATATTTATTAGCTATCATGCGCTATACGAAAAATTAAAAAAGTTAGGGGAACGTGTTTCCTTTTTATGCCAATCGGAAAAGAATATCCCTTTCATTTATTACGTAATCTCTATGTAAAATTTCCAAAATGATAACATTTTAAAAAACATTGCAAATTTTTATAAAAATACAGGCTAACAATTAAACAATGGGTTTTTGAGCAAATCTATATATTTAATGAGCTCATCAAAAACAATCAAAATAAAATCTTGAGTGTAAATAAAGGGAAATTTAAATATTTTGACAGAAAAACACGAACACAGATTTTACCACGGGGTAACATTAAGGGGAAAATGGATAACATTAAAAGGAAAAAAACTTTCCCGAATCGGGAAAGATTT